TAGGTTTAGGGGTTAATTTTAGGTTTAGCGTTTACAGCGTGCTTCTGTCTCCTCGCTGTTGTCGCCCTGTTGATGACGCCAGCGACGCGGTTTAATCGGGCGTGGCTTAGTCGAGCGCGGTTTAGTCGAACACGGTTTTGTGGTGGAACCGGAAATTCACAGTCATTCTGGAACTTGGTCATTTTCACTGAGAGAATGCCAAAAACAATGGAAATAAATTCCATGGGTGCCTTTTCTAATCAGGACTCTTATTGCCTCCCCACCCCCTCCCGGCAAGTAGGAAAACCTCCACACAATGAACCAGCAGCCTTTTAATTTCTAACTAGGGGTGGGCTGCTAAAATTTTTGAAGCCCACCCCTGCTTCTAACTTTGTAGGTACATTGTTGAAAGGTGTGCTACAGATGAGTTTTCTTATACCATGCTAACTTTACTATTAAAATGGTAAATAAATTAATTAAAATCAGAGGCATGGAAACTCAACAGCAGCTAAAAATATAAGCTTAGGAGTTTCCCTTCTTAGACAAAATAGAATCAGGGAAACAAGAAAAAACATTGAACCAAGAAGGAGCTATTTACAAAAGAGTCCAGTGGCACTAATTTATTATTTGTGCCTTCAAGGCGGTTTTTGACTCCTGGTGACTGCTGTTTTCATGGCAAGGTTTTTCAGAAATGATTTGCCATTGCCTCCATCACAGGGCTGAGAAAGAATGAATGGCCCAAGGTCATGCAGCTGGCTTTGTGCCTAAGGTGGTACTAGAATTCCCAATCTTGTAGCCTGGTGGCAATGTTACACCAAACTTATAGAGGGTACAATATGATCACAACTATGCCTTCTGTTTTCTCCTCTCCCATCCTTTGCACACTATGTAAGACTTACTTTCTAGAGAAGACCCTACTTATTTCTCCTAAAATAATACTACTATCTGATTTGTTTTAAAAGAGAACCAAAGTGATAGTCCTGGCCATAATGTTTGATATGCTATAATATCCATTTCACCATTGATTTTGTATATGATGGTGGATTATTTATGTCATAGTATTTCTATTTCATCCAGTAATTGCAGTCATTTCACTGAAATTCATATAAGCATATAATATAAACACTACTCCATTTTCTTCTTTTTTTCATGGTTTTAATTTTGATTTCATTGTCATTGGAAAGCAATGCCCTCTAGTGTTAGAAATCGGGGTTGAAGACTTAAAAAGAGAAGTTCTTAAAATCAATGGGAAACTGTGTCTGAGTTACTTGAAGCATTTACAAGGCATCCGATTATTTTCTTTTACACTTATCACCATATCCCAGAAGTATTCTGGACAGCTTGACTTGAGTAATACTGAGAACACCACCATAAGCTGACAATATCGAATATCTTTTTGTTAGAGCTGCCTTGATTTCTCTTTTTAATTTGCTATTAATAGCTACATACAAGGGAGAGAAAGTGACAAGAAAAAAATGCCCTTATTGAATCTCTGCTTGACAAGCAACTATTAGAGATATACAATAACTAAGAACAGGAGAATTGAAAAAAATATCTTGCCCATATTACTAAAATGCTCTTCACATTGTGTTTTATTTATAGCAGGAATATAAATAAAGTTTCCTCTGATCTTCAAAGTAAGGTTGAAGAAATAGTAAGGTGTTCAACTAGGAAAGGGGAGACCCAAGCTAAGATCCCAGTCCTTAAAATAATTGAGGCAAAATAGTATCACACACATTTTGTATATTTATCTGTTCTGACCAAGAGTTGGCTTGCTCCTGGTTTGGCCTGGGTCAGGCAAATGGGTAGTAGTGGCAGCAGGAGGCTCTGCCCACCGACCCAGATACTTCTGCGCATGTGCAGAAGTATCATGCACATGCGCGAGCGCGACCAAACTAGTAGTAAAAATATTGGCAACCCACCACTGATCTGATCTCTTATTTTATATAACCTTTTCTCCTCTCAGATTTTATCCAGCTGCTCCTTCCCTAGAGAAAATACTGAATAATATCATTAGTCCTTTCTTACCAAAAGGAAAAAAAAAGTCTCCATTGTTAAAAGTAGGTCAAACAACACATTTCAACCAAAAAAATGATGTGAATGTAAACATCAGTGGTTGAACTGGGATGGGCTGATGTCCAGGCCAGAGCCAGGTGATTCAAAGTTGACATATGGTCTTTCACAGTCCCCTGGTTTTTTTTGCAGGATCCTTTTTTCTCTTCTTCCCCTTTAATAAGTAAATAAATAGAAAGGGATTAATTTAGAGCCAGTTTGGTGTAGTGGTTAAGGCAGGGCTGTTAAACTGGCAGCCCGCAGGCTGGATGCATCACACGCAGGTCACGCCCACTCCAGCTTCGCGAAGGGGAAAACATCTCGATACATTATGTGACGGCAACCTGACGCCCCAGGTTTGACCTCCATGGGTTAAGGCATCAAGCTTGAAGTCAGGGGGCTGAGTTCTAGTCCTGCCTTAGACAAAGCCAGATGGATGACCTTGGGCCAGTCACTGTCTTTCAGCCCTAGGAAGCAGATAAGTGCAAACCATTGCAAGGACTTGTCTAGGCAATTATGAAGAGTCAACACTGAATTTATAAATAAACAGCAAATTGGCCAGGTCGATGATTATATATACCTCTTGAGTTCTTTCCTTTTGTTTTTTGTTTTTACAATGTATCACAGATCTTTGCAGGAAGGAAGGAATAAAAAAAATCAAATAACTTCCACAACTGTGTGATTGAAGCTACGTTCCTTTGTGTGTCTGCAACACATGTAAATACAGGTAGTCTTTAACTTACGACCACAATTGAGCCGAAAATTTATGTTACAAAGCGAGACAGTTAAGTGAATTTTGCCCCATTTTATGACCTTTTGTGCCACCGTTGTTAAGTGAATCACTGCAGTTGTTAAGTTAGTAATATGGTTGTTAAGTGAATCTGGCTTTCCCATTGACTTTGCTTATCAGAAGGTAACAAAAGGTGATCACATGACCTTGGGACACTGCAACCTTCATAAATATGAGTTGCCAAGCATCTGAATTTTGATCACATGACCATGGGGATGCTGCAATGGTCATAAGTGTGAAAAAAGGTCATAAGTTTTTTTTTTTTTTACAATGCTGTTGTAACTTCAAATGGTCACTGAACAAATTGCTGTTAAGTTGAGGACTAACTGTAATTACTTGGAGCTTTCACTGCATGGTTAGGCCAACCATGTTGACTTCTCAATTCCCATGGACCTAAACCAGGGTACAATACAATAGCAGAGTTGGAAGGGACCTTGGAGGTCTTCTAGTCCAACCCCCTGCCTAGGCAGGAAACCCTATACTGTTGGGTTGGGCAACTATGGTACCTTTATGGCCTGTGGATATCAACTCTCAGAATTCAATACTTAATATGAAATGAATTATGTAACTATATATTATAACCCACAAGGAAACTATCCTGTGCTTGTATGCTTCTAGTCCTTTTAGTATAACATCCAAAGCTGTACGTGTTAAAACTACTTATTTAATAAAAATTCAGAATGGAAAATCAGTTTCTTCCATCCCTAATGTGCCCTAATCTCTAATGTAATATTGTAATATTGATCCCTAATGTATCAATTTAGAAGTACATGTAATGACTATGAAAGATAAATGTTAGCTTCACATCTAATTTTTCCCTCTTTTCTGGAACAAAATTCAGATGCTATATTTGGGGCATACAACAACCTGAAAAATTCTAAATGAGCATTTTTCAAACTTGGCACCTTTAAGATGTATGGATTTCAATTTCCAGCCTCTTGTCTGGGGAATTCTGGGAGTTGGAATTCATATATCTTCTTGAAGTTGCCAAGTTTGAAAAACACTGCTATAAAATAATGATGGCGTGTTTCAGATTACATTGAATACATAACACCACTAGAGGGCACTGTATCATTCACAAGTAATACCAGTCCCACATCTTTCAGAGCAGTACTTCTAAGCCTTCTGCTCTCTGGAGAATTCTGGGAGCTGACATTTTAAAGTTGCTAAGGTTAAGAGAATGCTCAAATCAAACCAATATAGGACAATGGGAAAAAAGAGCTACTGTATATACTCGAGTATAAGCCTAGTTTTTCAGCCCACTTTTTGGGCTGA